ATATATAGAGAGAGAGAGAGAGAGAGAGGCTGGTTCAAATGTTAACCAAGATTATTGTATTAACTTTGTTAACTAATCTTGGCCATTGATTCTTACAATAAACGGTTGTGATTAATCATGATAAAAAAAATAATTTTTTAAATTTACAATTTCAAAAAAAATATGTGAACAAAGGGAAAAGGGTATTTAGGTAAAAAAAATATGTAACTCCCATATCATTAATTGGGAGTTACAAAATCAAAAAATTTCATTCTTTTTGTTAATGTAAGAACCATATGAACACACACACTATATATATATACATATATATATATATATTGACATATGAACAACATGTGAACCATATGAACAACATGTGAACCGTATGAACATTTTAGTATATTCAGGAGCCAACTCTGTTGTATGTACATGAACACGTATGAACCAAGGCATCTAGGGTTGTATGTTTTCATACGTGCTCACATGTCTTCACATGTTTGAGTGTGTGTATATGGATTCATATGAACATCTAGTGACTTGAATAGACATGAACAATTATGAATCACGACATCAAAGGCTGTGTGGTTTCTGATGTGTTCATATCTTTGTGTGGGTCCCTATGTCTTCATATGTCTTCATATGAACATCTAATGCACTATGTGTTAAGTTCATATGTCTTCACCTGTAAACTGATTGAATCTCTCAACAGAGTCACCTCCTGAATATACAGAAGTTGTTCAACAGGTCAGCTGCAGTTACTTTTTTTGCAAGATAAGTGAGAACTGCCAAAGGTGAGCATTGTCGATTAAAACAAATGCAATATCATATTAATCCATTACCAATACAAACGCTTTGATCATTGTCTTCACTTTCGGAGCTCGAAGTCCGATTGTCATCATAAACCATTTTAACATTTTTATTCTCATTGTTGTCGATCTGTTTTCCAATGGGTTTATCCATATTAGCTTGGACGATATCGTAAACTTTACTATCGAAAATCTTTTAATAATCACAAATTCAATAACATTATAGATAGATAAATCAAATTTCAAAAATAATCACAAATTGAAAAACAAGATCAATATTAAATCACCATCAATTATGGGATTTTTATATTTTGTAACTCCCAATTACTGATATGGGAGTTACATAAAATGGTAAAATTACTTAATTACCCTTGTCATTAACATATGAGATGTATATGAACATAAAGAAAAGATTGATTTTCATTGGTTGAGCTTGGTTAACAAAGTTAACACAATAATCTTGGTTAACATTTGAACCAAGCTCTCTCTCTCTTTCTCTCTCTCTCTCTCTTTCTATCTCTCTCTCTCTCTCTCTCTCTCTCTATATATATATATATATATATTTCTTCTATAACCTATATGGGGCTCAATGGAGCCATTTTACAAATAATCTCATGAATTTATTGGTTTTGCTCTTTTCTTTTAGGAACAAGTTATGATATAATACGTCTTGTTTATCTCGACGAAATGGGTGGAGTAGTTATCCCCATGCCGAAAATATTTGTGATGTTCAGTAGCTTTTCATTGTCTTCCCTTGCATTAATGGGTATGAGTGGTTTTGTTTCAGAATTTAGTCTTTTTGGGAATCATTACCAACCAAAAATATATTTTAATGCCCAAAACTGCCATCATTTTTGTAATGACACTTGGAATAATATTAACTCATATTTATTTATTATCTATATCACGCCAGATATTCTATGGATACAAGTTATTTAATACTCCAAACTCTTCTGTTTTTTATTCTGGGCCGTGCAAGTTATTTGTTTCGATCTCCATTTTCCTACGTATAATAGGTATTGGTATGTATCCCCATTTTGTTCTTTCACTGTCAGTTGACAAGGTTGAAGGCATTCTATCTAAATAATTTTATAGATAGATTTCTGAAAGAAAAAACTCCTATAATTTTGTAGAGTTGGTTGGCTATTGAAAAAACATTGATCATTTCAAGAATGTTCCTTCCCTTGATGAAAGTTGATTGCTCCTTGCTTACCACAAAATCCAACACCGCTTGCGTGTATTATAAGGAATTTTTATGTCAAAATTCTTAAATAATTTTTATGCTTGCATGTATTATATGTGTGTATATAATAATAAATTGATTATAATAAGGAACAACCACATCCAATGATGTGGTACAATGGTGTAGTACAAATTATGGCTATGAATTTTCTCAAAATTTTGATTTTCTAAAATGTTTAATATGTAAATGACTTCTCTACCCCTAAATGAAATATGTATGCTTCATTATTAGAATGGGTTTTTTGTGGTTTCTCATTCATGGGTTTAACCTATGACTATTCATTTGCTCCTTCCTTTATATCCTTTTTAATTCTCAAATCCTTGAAATTAACATGATATGGATGAAAATGAGGCAAGAGGCACTTGAGGAATAGACATGGAATAAGTTCATTGAGAAGTTGGCATATCAAAGAATTCCCAATTAGTAAGAAGAATACCTTCACTTACTAACATCCTGAACATGTACTTAACCATAATCTTCTCCAAGGAAAGTGGGCCAACAAATTCATGTAATCTTTTTGTTATGTATTCTTCCAATGTGATTGATTAAAGTTGTTGACATGTATATAAGGGAATATAAAAAAGTAAATGTCATAATGTTATATTTTTTTCATTTAACTCTAAGTATAGAATAAGAGATTTAACAATGATATCACTCTCTATGGAATTTTTTGACTACTTTTTTTATCAGATGTTGAATTAATTATTTGAGTTTTAAATATGAAATTTTTTTCTATTATTTAGTTATAATTTGATTATTGAAGTTGTAGAATTATGATAAATTGATCATTTTATATGATTATATAGTTATCCTACTAATGGATTATAGCTATCATTATTTATGATTATGTTGCCCTCATATATTAATGTATAGTGATCTCTCAYGTGCATGTGAAAAATCTAAATGGACCCAAATTACAGTCGAAGCCAAAGACCTTTGCAGGAGAAGAAATGATTTTGATGTTATTATTCTTAGTTCCTTTTGTATATCATATTTATATTTGAAGATAAAATCATTCAATTTCAACCACAAAGGTGGTGCCTGATTAGTTTGAGCTTGGCTCTAAAGGTCAAAAGCAGCAGGAGGTCTCAGATTCAAATCTAAGAAGGAATAAAAATCCCCTTGTGGCCACGGAGGTTCAAATGTGGTGACTTCGGGCTAGCTGCAAAGCAGGTGGTCACCCTGGGATTAGTCGGCTCGCATAACGGGTTGGATATCCAGGTTAATAAAAAAACAATCATTCAATTTCATGACTTTGGTTGTTTATCTTTTGGAGAGAGGGGTGTTGATCGTTATCGAATGGGGAAAATAAGAAGGGTAGTTGTTAGAAAAAAAGGGACACCATAGCAATTTTGTATGTATATTAAATGATGAACCACCAACAATGAAGTTTTTCTAAGTTTCAAAATCCCAATTTCTTATTTCCCAATTTTTTTCTTTTTATCAATGTAATTATTTAGTAAACATTGAAGTAATTAAATTATTCATCTTCTTTTATAACGACCAATTTTTGTTATTAATGATGCATGTGTATATATATATCATTAATACATATAAAAACTCATTATATGAATGAAATTGCGATCAATTTA